AACATCAAAAGGCTGATCTACAGAATCTTAGAATCTGTAAGCTGGTCTTATTATTTGAGGCCTGATTCATGATTGGGCTTCGTAACACTTTATTAAGTGCTACACCAACAGGTCTCAAACCATACTCCATTGATCAATTGCTGGTTCATTTCATGTCCAGCTGCTACATCCTGTTAAGAAACAGTTTAAAAGCTTGAAATATTTCCTTCCTATAACTCTTCCTTGTGAAGAATTGCTGAGATGTTATTTTATAGCCAATAAGGAGCAAAACAGTAGATCCAGTTGCAAGTTTCTTTGCTTTTATGCTCATGAGAAAGAAATCTCACCAGTCCTTAACTCACAGGGCTGTCAATCTTTCAACTAGCAGTTTTACTGTTATTGTGTAAGTTTCTAGTCCATTAATATTTTTGTCCTCGTAAAATTATTTTGCCAGCCTTCTTATTCAGCAAAAAAAATTGATACTGGTAGAAGCCACTGAAACAGATAACAGCAGGAGCCTAGTCCAATGCATAACCCAGAAGCAGAGAGCAACAATGTAGACTTGCCCTGTTACTGTCAAGCCATAACCTAGAACAGGGGCAGGCAAAATATGGCCCGTAGGCTGGATGCAGCCCACTAGGTGATTTCTTCTGGTCTGTAGGTATCGCACCAATTAATTGTATTTCATCCAGCCTGTACACTTTGCTCCCACCCTCATACACAGGAAGGCCCTGGTCCTGGCCAGCATACACAGCTTCTGGGTGGGGCCACTGATACTGCTGCTGCACTGGCTCTGAGCAGCAGGTAGGGAAGCTGCAGCTGGGTGGGATCATGGAGCATCAGACTGGGGTTGGCAGGAGTGCTGAGCCTGGGTCCTGTGCCCAGCAGGGCGATGGCAGCATGTAGCTCAGGTGGGCAAGGTGCAGGTATGTGGGTGTAAGGGAGGTCGGGGTGGAGTGGGAACCCCCTGCCCTCTACATACCCCCTCCATGGCGCACAGCCCCTGCTGCCAGCAGCAACAGGTCCTTGGGCACTCACAGTCCATGCAGGTGCAACCACCCAGTGGCGCATGGATCCAGCCAATTCTGGGAGCTGCATGTGGTGGCAAGCAGCAGAGCCTGGCCAGCCCACCTCTATCACACAGGGCTCATGTGCAGCTCTCAGGACTTCTACACCACCAGTGGAGGGGGAACCCCTGCAGGATGGAGCTGGCAGCCTAGCCCTGCTCCCTGCCACCAGGAAGCAGGGGGCAGGGCTTCCCACCACTTCCAGCAGAGTCCCAGGAACTGAATGTGGCAGCAGGGGTCAGGGCCTGGCCTCCAGCTCCATTGTGTGGGGCTTCCCCCTGCTGGTGCACAAGTCTTGGGAGCTTATAGTAGGGCACTAAGGTGCCTGCTACTTGTGGAGCAAGAGAGAAACACCCAGGTGTAGGTTGCTAGGGCAACCAGAGGGAGCTAGTGGCCCACACCTGTTAGCAGTCAGCTGACTAGAAGGGGCCAGGCCTGGTTCCTATATAAATCCCAGGATGAGGCCAGGCAGGCAGTTCCCTGCTGGCAGCCAAGGGAGAAGGGGCTCTGCCTGAGTGAGAAAAGAGAAGAGGCTGGAATGCACAAGCAGCTTGATATGGGTGAGGGATAAAGCACCCTTGGGGTGGCCCAAGTGATGTTGTAGCCGGGTGTCTTATAGCCCAGGGGCTTGTGTTTTGTTTGCTGTTAGACCGGTGGCTTGGGTGAGGCTATAAGGAGATGGAGGAGGCCTCATAGGGGGTCCACGGTAGTGTAGGGACCCAGGTGCTAGAGAGGGCGCAGTACTGGGGGCACACTGACCACAAATGTGAGAGAAGGTGCAGCATTGGGGGTGTGCTGACCTGAGCGCCAGGGAGGATGCAATACTGAGGTGTGCTGACTCCGACCCCCCAGAGAAGGGGGCAGCGATTGAAGAGCGCCTATGAGGCACGGTGCAAGACAGGGCTGTGGAGAGCCCAAGTATCAGTGACATCAAGTAAAACCAAACAACATCTGTTACATCTGCGAGGCTTGGGGCGTGGTACAGGGGTGGTTGGAGCCATGTATAACCCATAAGGCTGGGGTGCACAGAAGCACCCATTACAGAAGCGGGACTAGTGTACAGGAGAAAAACAATGTCCAGGGAGACGAAGAGGCAGCCTCCCTATTATATGCACTTTACATCAAAGATGTGGCGGGTGAGAATTGAGGGTGCTTTGTAGACTAACTGGACATGGTAAGGGGGTGCTAGGGGAGAGCACGGTGACCCCTAGGATGCCCATCCTGTTACAGAGCTGTACATGAGCCCTGCATAATAGAGGCTGGCTGGCCTGGCATGCAGCTCCTAGAACTGTGGCTGGAGCCACACGTTACTGGGAGGCTATGCCTGTATGGGCCATGAGCAGCCCAATGCCTTGCTGCCTGCTGCTGCTGTTGGGGGCTGTGCCATGGCGGGGGGCATGTAGTGGGGTCCCCACACTCCCCACTCTCCCTCACACCCCACAAACCCCACGTACCCACCCCCCAACCACACCCCACATACAATATACAAAAGTAAGACTTTATTTTTGAGCTATTATGCAATCACCTCTATATACCCTAGGCGAACACACACAAATCAGGACAAAAATATTTTTTGAAATGAAACTAAAACATGTTATTGTAGATGTTTTGATTTTTAGTACATGATTTGGTTTTTTTTCCAGTTCCAAGATGGTGACCCCTCCCTCCAAAAAGAGTACTTCCAGGGATAAGGAGAGAGACTTCTGGTGGCAAAAGTCAGGGATTAGGACTTCCGGTCCCAAGATGGTGACGATGGGGTGGGGCACCTGTCAAGAGGCAGGACTACTGTTGCAACCTCTTGACATCTCACCAAAACTCATTAAGCGGCCCTCCAGCTGAAATAATTGCCCACCCCTGTCCTAGAAAGACCACTGCAGGCACCAAAGCATAATTCAGTCTGTAGTTTCCCATCAGTTCTTGACCTCCTAGCTGAAACTGCCAGAAAGATGTCACTTGCGATATGGATCAGGACACAGATTACAACTACCCACCCATCTGACACATGCTGACAAACCATCACCAAATAATAGTGTCTGGGACTAAGCAAATTCATTCTCTCTAATTTCAAACCCAGTCAAACATCAGGAGTTGGAAAGTTCAACACAAACTCAAATGCCATTGTGTTTATATTCTGCATAAGAGAAGAGAAAAAAAACAACAACATTAAATGAGGGCCTGTATAGGGATACCATGTACAAAGCACCAAGTTGTGCCACCCTAGATACTCTGGTGTATGGAAAAAGAGCAATTTGCCATACATAGTACATAGCACAAGTTTTCTTTCATCAGAATAGCATAGACAGATATTCACAGCAGAACAAGACAGACAGACAGATGGCACACAATTTTTACATAACCCTTAAAACCGAAGCAAATATGCAAAGAAGAGGCCAGTGCATGCCGCAGCAGAGGGAATAAAATGCACAATACAAAAGGATTCACACACACAGACCTTTTCCAGCACAGGAAAGATCAATATGAAGTGTGCTGGAAAGGCAGGTGCTAGGTCTTCTGGCAGGGGAGGGAGAGGGGGTAGGGGGAGAGCTAGAGCTGCAAGCCCCACCCCCCGCAAAACAGAGATGCATTCATGCATTCTATTCCCAAGCAGCCATGACTTGAGTGGTGCCAGTGGAAGCCAGGAGGTGGGCACAGTGTCTGCACCTGATGTCCCTGTATCTGCACCACCTTTGCTCAGTCCAGAAGCAGGCACCAGCAGTGGAATCACTACCTCCTCCACCCCAATTTCAGCTCTCAGCGTGAGCCTCCTACTGCCAGAGAAGGAGCTGGAGCTGGAACCAGGGATGCTGAGCGCATTGGCTCAAGCAATTCTTGGGACTGAGAGGGAATCAGAGTTTGTGCTCCACACCCCTCACGTTTCCCGTAGACCCAGGTCTCCTCTGGAAAGCAGCAGCTTAGAGGAGGCGAGGTTGTGAAGGCAAGTGGCTCAGCTGAGGCAGCTCCTCCTGCTGTTCAGCCTCAGCCTGCTGAGAAGGGGGAAAAGGCAGGATCCTCACCCTCAACCAGAAGCAGGGGAGTAGTGTAGTGTGGGATCATTTTGAGGTGGCAGATGATCCCAGGTTTGCCATCTGCCAGCACTGCCGAAGGCACATGAGCTGTGGCAAGGACGTGAGACACTTCTTCACCACGGCCATGCTGCCGCATCTGAGGAGGCAGCACCCCCTTGCCCTTCTTGCTGCTCATCCTGGCACCAGTGTGAGTGTGCTGAAAGGGAAGTCCCCCATTCGCTCCAATGCCACCTTCCTTTCAAAGCAGAGGCAAGCCACCCTGGACCAGTGGGAGAAGTGGACAGAAAGAGGGGTGCATTCCCAAATGCTGAAACTGTAGCTGCTGCTGAAGGCTGGGCTCCATGGGCATTTTTTTAAAAGAGCTGAAAACAGTTTTGCAGGACTGTAAAAAGGAGAGAGACAAGGAGTAGCTAAACTGCAAAATCTTCAGCAAAATTCCTGAGTAAAGACTAGCTTAATTAGTAGAACATCAAGAACTTGGAAAAGGAGAGTGGGTAATTAACTTGTTGAACAAAGAATAATTAGCAAGAGTCAAGTAGATTATAATGAGCCATAAAGTCAGTTGACTCCCTCTGCTGCTGCCTGAATAAAAATTCCATTGTAGCTGTTTTGACCAGTAAATCAGGAGCCCTGCTTAAGACACGCACCCAATTTTGAAAGGCTATTTTTGGGGGAAAGGTATGTTGTATGCAAGCAAATATGGTATTTGTTATTGTTTTTAAAAGCATTCCAAATTATAAGTAAAAAAAATTGAGAGACAGAGAAGAAAACACAGTTGTGGCTTTATCCCTTCCATTTCTAGATTTCCAAATGTGCCCCATTTTTCATGTTATTAGGGTTTGTTTTGGGGGTTTTTTTGTAGCAGGTGTCTTTATTTGTACATCTCTAAAAAGAAAGGATGAAATCCTGGTTTCACTCAAGACAAAGGAATTTCTACCACTAACTTTAGCTGAGCTTGCAATTCACTTGCAATAACGGATACAAAAAATGGCACTACGAAGCCTTCTTTTTCTTTAAACACCAGGGTCTGTTGTTTAAAGAACAGCACATCTTAATCTATAATATTGTTTCCCATTCATTAAAATATCACGGCACTCTGCCACACACTTTCCAGCAGAGAGAGACAGAGAGGGAGACAGACAGAGAAATTGCAGTTATTCCTCAGCTGATGGCATGTCTTCAGGGAAAGTTTTCTCATTGCCAAGTGTGGCATGGTTTCAACTACAGCTGTCAGCACAACAAGTATGTAACAAACAGTTTTTCTAGTGAAATTCCTTTAGGCCTCTGAGAAGGAAGAATTTAATCTTTAAAGAATATCAGTGGCTTGCTAGGCTTGAAAACTTTGGTGTTTTCCATAAAATGAAACATTCTGCAAATGACTAACAACATGGTTTGGAGAATTGATTTTCCCTAATTCAAACTTCACACAACAAGTGCTGCTGTTGCTGCTGCCTGTAGTTATTTCAAAGTGCTCATCACCACTTTGCCCACTTATCAGCAAAATCATGTCTGCTATTTGAGCTTTAGTCTAGAACAAGGCCCTGTGGAGCCACCAAATCACTGTATGCCCAAACTCAAGGTCAAGCGGGGTGAGTGGGTAGTGGAACGCAGGTATGCAAGAGTGACAGTGGTTCTGCACAGATGATCATCAGCATAACCTAAGAGCAGGATTAAGGCCAAGAAGTATGACATGGACAGAATTGGCACATGAGATCAGAAGGGTTTATGGCAATATCAAGCCACCTTTGTGGTCTACCAGTCCTAAGCTGCTCTAGCATAAACTAGAGCAGGTGAGAGCTGCATCTAGGGACAGACATTACACATAAACTGGTTCAAGTGATCAGAAACCAGTTTAAACTTGTAGCAGAACATAAATTCAGTGCACATAAACCAGTTTCAAAATGGCGAAAACTGGTTTGAGATAAAGCTGACTGAAAGTAGCATTAGACTTAACTGACTGACATCAAACCAATTTATGCAATGTCTGTCCCAGACTCCCTCCTGGTTTAAGTTAAACCAGTGTCTCCCAGCATGCTCTCTGGGCTGGGTTCTCTACTCCAGTGAAGCAGTGCTGGCCCCACCCTTCTGCTCTCTAGTCTGAACTGGGGTGGTAACATGGCAAGACACCAGCTGGCATGGCTCTGTTAAGTCAAAGTGGGCGGGGGGGGGGTTAATTCTGCCCTCCTTCCCCTCCCCACCCCTCCCCTGCAGCCAGGGTCTGCCTGTCTGCTGGGGAGCACCAGAGGCAGAGGGGGTGACTAGGGCTGGCAGACACCGGCTGTGGGGTAGAAGGCACAAAGGCAGGAAGTAAACCCCTCCCTACCCCCTTCACCTTAACGGGGCCATGCCAGGACAATGTTGGGCCACATCCCACCACTGGAACAATGATGGGGTGGGGAAGGATAGCAGCTCTGCCAGACTGCCCGGGATGGGGTTTATTCCCCCCCTCCATTCCCTGTCTCACTGGCAGGGATCACAGCTGTCCCGGCATGGCCCCATTAAAGCTAAGGAGGCAGGGAGGAAGTTAATTCCCCCCCTCCCATTGGGGACTGCGGCTGGGGTGGAGCAGCCCCCACTCCTTCCCCCCCCCAACAGGGTGGGGAGGGGGCCTCTGTGCGAGGCTGCCAAGCCCCTAAGGGAGGACTCTGCCCCCTCCCCCACGGGGTAAGGGGGACTCTGTTCAGTGTTGGGGGAGGACTCTTCCCCCTCCTCCTCCCTCCTGCCCCCCTGCCACCATGGTGTTGAGAGGGGGGATCTGTGCAGGGCTTCCCAGCCCCAGAGGGGGACTCTTCCCCCTGCTCTTCCTCCAATCCACCAGTCGAGGAGGGGAGCTGTGTTCCATGATAGAAGGGGATTCTTCCCCTTCCCCTCCCTCCACCACTGTGGGGTGGAGAGGGGTGCTCTGTGTGGTGCTGCCCAGCCTGGCCCAGCACAGCCTTGGCGCAGGGAGCAGTGTCATTGAGCTGCAGCCCCACGGCCTGGCTTGGCCCAGCTGAGCTGAGGCCGAGGCAGCTGCACTGTGGGGTTGGCTTGGCTGTGGGGATGGGGCCACCCCCACCGGCTGCAGCTCAGTGACAGGGACACTGCATGCCAGGCCAGGCTGCACTGCTGACAAGGTTCAGTGTCCCTGTCCCTGAGCTGCAGCTGGTGGGGATAGCCCTGCCCCCATGGCCCAGCCCAGCCCCGCCATGCAGCTGCCTCAATCAGGGCTCAGCAGGGCTGGGCTGGGCCTTGGTGGTGGGTCCACCCCCAGGGGCTGTGGCTCAGTGACAGCCACTCCCCATGCCCAGACTGGACCTGGCAACACCACACAGGGCCCCCCCTCCCCACCCTGCAGAGGCAGGGGGGAGGGGGGGAGAAAGAGGGGGAAGAATCCCTGACCAGTACCGAACAGAGCCCCACTCCTCGCACCACAGGGGGGAGAGAAGCAGGGGAAGGAGTCCCCCTCCCAGGCTGAGAAGCCCTGTACAAAGTACCCCTCCCAGCCCTGTGGCAACGGGAGGCAGGGGGAGGAGGAGGGGAAAGAGTTGCCCCAGCATGAAACAGACCCCC